TACCTCAACATTTCTTACTGTCTCTAGTATTTTCAATACCTCTGTTGTGTCTTTGACATACGTCTTGATGTTTAATAAAAAGGGTCTTAATAGACAATCTAAAAATTGTGCAAGGGGTGAGAGTGCCGAACCAATCCCTGCTACAATGGGTCTACCAGGAGGGCATATTAAACTCTTTTGAATCTTAGATAACACAAATTGTTGGTACCATCAGTGATTTTGCATATAGGAACCCATACGTCTCTCGGTCAATGATTAATTTATCCAAAGCGGATTTGAGTACTTTCTCAATTTTAGCCTATAACAAAATGGTGGGGTCAAAATCAAGTTTTTTATATGTCTCAACATCTTGTAATTGTCGCAATATTTCTTGTATATTATTGCTTCTGTTCTGAACCACTATAGCACCACCCTTATCCGCTGGTTTAATAACCAGCTCCCTATTATTTTTCAAGGAATTTCAGTTCAATTTTGGTTAAATTTAAAGGACCGGGGTGGTGTTTGTGGCCAGATCTAAAGGAAAATAAAAGGTCATCATCTGTTTTTTTGCTGACCCATGCTCAGTAGCACCCTGGGTTGTTATATTGTGGCTGAGTGCGACCCTATCTTTTTTTCTTTTTTTCAACTCCTATAATTAGTGGCATAGACTCCATCACAGCAGGACTCTCAGCATTTATAGATCTGTACCTGCAAGACTATGCCCAAAAAGCAACATCTTATGTGAAAGACACTAAAGCCATTCTACAGGAATTGGCTAACATTGAGTGGCAACAGGATTACAGCTGGGCCACTTTAGACATTTCCTCACTATATACTATTATCAAGCATAATTTAGGTATTCAGGGAGTATCTTATTATTTACAAAAAGATCAAAAGATTTCTAGCGAATAAGGTAATTTTATTTTTAATTCTATCACTTTAATTTTAAAGCACAATTATTTTATGTTTAATGGTACATTTTATTTGTAGATCACAGGGAACGCCATGGGAACCAGGTTCTCCCCCAGCTATGCCAACATTTATATGAGAAGATGGGAAGAAGTAACAATCTGGGCCTGACATGGCTAGGGGAAAAGACTTGGTCCTGTGGAGGAGATATATTGATGACAGTCTTATTATTTGGAGAGGATCAGAACACTCTTATTCTAATTTTGTAGAGTATTTGAATGACAATATATATATATAACCAGAGATTTACTTCCGAATTGCACCATGATACCATGAATTTTCTAGATATTATTTCCAGGTGTTATTTTAAGAAGACAGATGGAAACGGCTACGTCCATCGACAAAGTTGCCACTATGATCAGTGGCTTAGAGGGATTTCCAAAAGCCAACTCGCAAGAAATAGGCGCAACCGTACCACCTCAGATGATTATAACCAACAAACCTTAGTTGTCAAAAATAAATGAATTGCAAAAGGATATAATAAAAAATATATCGCGAGGGATATCCGAAGAGTTTCAAAGATAGGGGCGACCTCATTATGGACGGACCGAAACCTCTTAGTAAAATACTATCAACAAAAAAAGTTTGAACATGCCTTTGTCACTAGGTTTAGCACGGATTATTTTAAAATCAAGAGAGCTCATCCTTTTATATACTCTTTTTGGTATATAATTTTTTTTGTTCATTATATATGGGATGTGTGGGAGGTACACCCTTTTTTAGGGTGGTTGCGTTTATCACATTTGTGTTATATAGTGAAGCCATGTCATACACAGTTGATATCCATACAAATTCTCTTCCTTCACTAATCTCCCCATGATACATGGTCTGTCAGTAGTTTTTCTTCTATAATATCTATCTTTAGTGCCGAAAACATGGTAAACTTTTGTAAAACCGTAAACAAATGAAAAAAATAATACATGTGAAAATAAAATAATAAATTTAAATTTTTTTGTAATTTTTTTTTAAAGAGCAATTTAAGTAATAGCCATACCTCTGTAGTTTGCACAAGGGAACACGGCAAATGTATCTGTCCCTAATCTAATAAGTGGTTCTCTGGCAACAGCACATGCTGCATTTAAATAGCACAGAAGTGTTGGTCCATTTCCAAAAACCGAGGGCAGATTGTGTGTTGCTGGGAATGTCCCGAACTCCGCTTGTTCACTAACAGTAAACTCAGCTGCAGCGTTCGGAGGATTAACACCTCGCAAAAGAGAGTGGACCATTACAGAGTATTTATAGGGTTACATACTAACAGATTCGTTTTCCCAATACAGCAAATAATATCCTGTGATTGAATCCGCTCATTGATCCCACAGCTCATAGACACACGAAAAAGCTTTATTTTTACATCATTACTGGAATCAGATATTTATTGATGCGTCGCTTCACTGGAAATGTAAAATAAGTACAACGCTTTATTCGATGTAATAACTTACAAAGCAAATTAAAATATAGCTGTTACTGAATCAGACGGCTTGGGGCTAGAAACTACACTTTCAAGTGCTCTAACGTGATCAAAAAAATCTACTTAGCGGAAATTTAAAATAGGATGTAATTGCACTATAACAGGAATAGGCAACCTTCGGCACTCCAGATGTTTTGGACTACACCTCCCATGATGCTTTAAGAGCATTATGGGGGATGTAGTCCACAGCATCTGGAGTGCCGAAGGTTGCATATCCCTGCACTATAACAGCATCAATAACATGAAGTTGTTATAGTGACTACTCTTTTAAATATCCAAGTAAACATAATCACTCTATAATGCCTGATACACTCTTGCAAAAAAGCATGAGCGTATGTACGCTTGGGTAATCCTTTCAATATTGCCGAATGTAGACTGCCATACTTATGTAGATTAGTTTGCACAATCCTGTAAGAATGTACGAAAGATGCGCTAAAAATTACAGTTCAATTTAAAATAAAAAAAATTAAAATGGAAAGATATGGCCAAAGGGAAGAATAGAAGGACTATTTTTGAATTTTGTGTGACTTGTTCTGACATGATTGTGGCTCCGAAAACAAGAGCTGGTTGTCTGCAAACTGCTGCGTTCTCCAAATTGACATGCTTTACATAGGGATTGAGCAGTACACAGGAGCCGTGTGTACAAACCTTTTGCCTTGTATCTCTGTTCATATGGATAACAAGTCTGATTCCCCAAGCAATTCTAACCATAAACATGTGTCTAACAAGGAAATGCTTAAAATCCTTAATGTGAGTTCATGGCTGCTGCTGTGCGTAGCGTGCAAATTTTCTGTGTGTGTACTCTTGCTTTTAAACTGGACTCTGTCCCCTGTGTGCTACATACTTTTTGTTATGTTTCAGCTGTCAGCGGTGATATATCAGAGCTGAGAAAAATGCAGATCTTGGCCAGATAAATTTTATATATGTATATATATATATTTTTTTTTAAATCTAGACTTGGAACCAAACTGCAGATTACCATATAGAAGCATAAGTCCACAGGCTATTCTTCTTGAATTTCTCACTTCTGAATAAATTCTGCTCACTGGCGGGGCTGTTGGGAAAACCCAAAATTTGTTCTGCGGCCCCAAAACGACCCAAAGAAGTTACTGTATCCATTTCTAAGTATGTGTTGGTCTATGTGGTAATTGTGGACCAGTGTTAATCCATGTATCCACTTCCAGTACCCCTTGTACCTGCTTTTTGGGGATTTAGGGTCTCTTGATATTATCGTGGCTGCAAGAAGTATTCTATGTGACAACTGGGCATTGGCCTACGTGTACATCAGACTGGATATTAGATCTGACAGTATGATGGGCCTTCTAAAATCCCTGAACTCCATTCCAAACATCCGTTACATCCAAGGGTTGTGTGGTTTTAGTCCATATTGTAATAGAGGAGGAGCATTGCCGAGTTCTAGTTCTACCAGGGGCTTCAACCCAAAGTGATGGCCCCAGACCCAAAGGCCACACCTGAAGATTAACACCACCCCTTCACTCTTGGTTTGTTTATTTCCATGCTTTGGTTCACAGTCTCTTCCCATTTTAACTACCTCCCTACTTGTCTCTTCATCGGTCACTGCCAACTACCACGTTTCCCAGGTCAGTGCCTTGTTTTGGGCTCCAGTCATGCAATGTTGTGGGACCTGTCCCACATTCTGCAATCGACCTGGCATTTTCGTTTGCAATTGTTTCTGACCTCAGACTGAATCTTAATGCAGGACGTGGCTCTTGCTGCTTAATGTATGCCAGGGCTGTCTTAATGCATGGGCACACTGGGCAGTTGTCCGGGGGCCCCACGAGCATAGGGGACCCATAGGCTTGCCAACTTTTCATTATATTATTTTTGGAGATTTATTCAGAACTTTCAAATCCTTAAACTTTCAAATCTTAATTAAAACCTTTAGGTGGACTAATCACCTCAGTATCAGCTGTTATCTGTACATGCGATCTTGCTGTTGTGAATACATACCTTGACGAAAACAACGTACACTTACTAATTGTACATAAGCAAGACCTAATCAGCACACACAAACTTTTTTAAAGTCATAAAGCTATAATAAGGTAAATTGCAACAGTCCACGTCAGTTGCCTCCCCCTGCTACCTACTAAACGTTTGTGTGGATTCCCTACTGTACAGCATGTCTTCTAATGTTTAAACACTGATTTTATTATAAGCAACAATAAGTATAAGCTTAATTTTATTGATAACCAATTGAATTACTGTGAGTGGTTGTGTACGGCCTCAGTACACTGCTTTGCCCGGGGCTCTATAACGCTGTTAAGACGGCTCTGTGTATAGCCACTGGAAGCCTTTTATTTCCCGCACCTGTTTGCATGCAGTTGTGTGTTGTCAGCCAGCTTTCTAAATTCCTGCCCTTCAACTGACTGTATTAGAATTGAAGTTTTATTTTGTGGAGGGTATATTTGTAAATTCCATAACCAAACATAGCAGTTCATTACGGCACATGCTATGACCAACCAAAACTCGGGAGGGGCGGGGGGACAAAACCAAACAGAAAAGTACTTCAAAATTCGTTCTCATTCTCTGCTATTGCCATAATAAAATATAAAATCAGAGGCTCTTTATGTTTTAACAATTCTTTATTTCAGTCACCAAAGATTTCCATGCAATATTGCTGTTTGATGATTGCCAATCTGTTAGAGATAAAATGTCAAGTATCTCTTTGCGTCGTAGAATGCCTTTTACCAAAATGTAAGCAGAACAGAAAAAAAAAGTCTAAATCCTTTTCTCAAATGCATAAAAATAGGGGATCTAATCTGGAAAGGTCAGGATTTTGCAGCATCGTGGGGATAACCTGTATCATATAAATACTCAGGATATCTCTCATATTTTACATTTAGCTTTTCAAGGGTCGAGGGGGTGGCTGATATCGATCTTAAACTGTTCTAATGGTGGTGCTGAGGATATCCTGAGCAAATAATTATATAGTGTTCTCTTTAATCTTATAAAGACCACAGGTTAGAAAAATCCTTTCATATTACCATATGCTTGGAACATTATTAGGCTTTAAATGGTTGAATGATCTCTCTAACACCACAACAACTTTGCAAGTTATAGCACAGAGAGAACAATGCACCCCCCCTTCCTGCCTTCGGGAGAACAGAATTCCCGAAACCTATATTCTTTTGTATTGTTTTTTTTTTTATTTCTTTTGGCTTGTTACTATAAACTTAGATTTGGAATAATAAATAAGAAACACAGGGAAGTACAGTTAACAGGCATAAACCCCAATTTTTTTAATTCTCCATCATATGACAAGAATTTATAATATTTTACCTTTTGTGTTCAAAACCGTATATATGTTTGTGGGAACTGTTTTTCCTTTTATCATGATATAGAACAATAGTATTAATTATCTGCTATAATGATGGATTATTTTCAAGATAACTATAGATCCTCGCCAATGCTTGCCAGGGATAATAGCAGCCATGACACAGAGTAGTCCATTGATGTAAAAAAAAAAAAAAAACACCACAACACTTTATTGGTCTTTTGTGTTTACTAATGCTACTGTTCCTGTATGTTTTTCTGAGCCAATTAATCAGGATCACTATTAAACCGTTCAATGCAATATCTTGAAGGTGGATATTTGAATCTCCCACACTCTAATAAATGCATGGTGCGAGGTTTGCTGATTAAGGATGTGCCGAACTTCAGTCTTCTGTATACGGACTTCCCTGGCCTCAATGTAAGCCAGCTGCCCTATTGATGAATATTTACGTAACGTTTCCATCTTTAAACGGAGCGCAGGTGCTGCAGAGATAGAAAAGACCAAGCTTTACCACAAACACAGAACACATGATACGATATATAGCTCTAACAATCTACATCCACAAAGCTGTATGTGGCGATCGTTCAGGGGGACTATCATTCTTTGTCCAACAAACTTTGCACCTCTATGTTTATCAAATCCATCTATATAGCTTGTATGTATCAAATGTCTGCCTGATTCCCTCTCTCTCATTCTGTATCTAATCTGTCTATCTCTGATCTTGATCTGTTGGCCTAGCTCTATGTCTACAGTTGTCTAGTTCTGACTATAATCTATATAGTTTGTCTAATCTTTAACTATAGATCTGCCTGTATCTAATCTGTTTGTCTCTTTCAGTCTATCTATATAGAGAGTGTATGCATAGTGGTTTGTTTATAGTCCTGTCCAACTAATCAGTATCTCACTCCTGTCCTGTCTAACAAGACCATTTGAGATAGTTTTTAGGCCTTTCTAATATTGAACCGATGATCCTGTTTCAGGTAGTTACCCTCCTGACCCGAGGTATGGCTGAAACATCACAAGACGAAATTCATCCTGTAATTATCTGGCTAAATTTAGGTGTGCATGCTCCTGAGGACACAGAGCCCAATCCTTGTACAGGATGCATTACGTTATGTCGGAGTTGGTGGCCAAATTATCACACATGGAGATTCTCTTCGTTCTGTGCACCCCTTCATCTCCCACCCCCACCCACCCAGACACAGGATCCCAAAGTGTCAGATAGTAAATTTGTGAAATCCTAAACCTCCCACTGCCAAAATGTAAAGTATGCATGGACAACTGGGCTTCAAGGTATAAATATATACCAACGTTCTAAAAAAGCCACAAAAAACACCTGACACGATTCACTTCTTAAATGATTTCGTGAGCAGAATGTGGATGATGTAAACCTATAAGTAAAATCACTGCTAAGATACACACGTTTCTTGTATTTATCATATCTGCTCTGCCTTTGAGATGGGCTTTTATAATCCCAAATTAGAACAGGTAAGGGGATCCAAATTACTGAACTAGCTCCAGGTTGGTTTGCATATAATGTTAGGTTTTTCCTCCCATAGGATAAAAGACTGTATGATTTACCTCTTTTACTCATTTATAGAGCAAGGTGATCACCTTCCTAATTTTAGATTTCTACCTGAGAACACAAAAATAAATTAATATTTTTCAAAGACATCTATAATGGATTCTGAACACAGTTTGGTATATCTGAATCGGCTGGATACTGCAATGTTCCAAGGTGACTCTCTGTGGGATAGATAGACATATTGTCACAATGCTCACACGAGAATGTCCTTACCAGAGTGAAAACCGTTATTCCTGATCACAGTATTAGCTCAGGAGTAAGTTTGTCTGTCAAGTTCAAACATTTTAAAAGGAAGACTTCTAAATGCAATTCCACCTTAACACAGCTGTAGGGCACTTCTCGCAAGAGGCCACCCATTTTTACACCAGCAGATATAGTTCACAGGTCCTTCCAACACAGCAGTTTGTTAAAACAAGGAATCCGAGTACAAGGTGTTCTGTCTCCATTAGCCCAAGGACATTATTAGGATTGCAAATCTGGTAGGGAATACTTTGATCATGCTAGGATTTGGTCGACATGTTACAGAGAACAGGAAGAGTCAGGTCTATTCAGAGATTTGTATATTGAGCAGAATAGACCTATTGTAAATACTTTTTTTTTTGCTGGCAGCACAATCTTAGGACAACAAAATTAAAACAAATTAGAGGAAAAGTTTTCGTAAAATGTTTGTAGGTACTTCCTTGACCTACCAAGTTTGTCTTGAGACACATTGTTTAAAAACCAACCTTGTGTATTCCAGTTTCCTTGACCGAATATAGCAGGTTTGTGGTTTGATGTAATGAAGTTGGGGGTTGATAATTTTAATTAATAAAGGCTGTTCAGATAACACTGCAAAGGACAAGTTCATTATAGTACTCACATGCGTATTTAAACAGTTGGGGCAACAGGCAGCGTCATTGATGGTATCACACAGCTCATACGCAGTCATTGACCAAGATGACTCTGGTCTCGTGGATAATAGTGCCACGAACATCAAATCCTCTAGATATAGTTTGGTGGTTATGGCCTGCTGTGGCTTGTGGAGAAAGTTATATTACCAGATGTATATTAAAGAGTAAATTGGAAATCGGTCGAATATTACACATCTATGGGACATTACACCGTGTTTTCAAGAACTAGACTCTAATAGTGCTATTAGATTACAAGACCTTTTACTACAGCATCTCCCCATAATCCCCCCTAGGATGCGAACCGTGCAGAATAGCATCTTAAATGCAACATCTTCTGTCATCCTCCCACAGTAAACACAAGATTATGAGATGTATTGGACACGGTCCATTATGAATTCACTGGGAAACAATCCCATATTCCCATTTCTTTTTGGAGTTGGGTTCCTACATTACTGTAGACTCCTTGGAAGATGATTGGCCATAATCACCATAATCGCATGCTGGCTCCTCGGGCAGTGGAGCAATATATTTAAAAGCTGCATGCTGCACAGCCTTTTATTAGAACTACTGGCACTTTTTATACTTGGGGGTGGTGGCGTGTGTTACAAAGTATTACACACTACTTAATTGTAACACTCATACCGCACTAAATCTATGTATTGCTTTACGTCCTAGTTTCTCAACCGGGTGTAGGTGCACCACAGGCAAGGGGTACGCCAAGAGGCGGCCGGTGGGGGAGAATGGAGCTGTACCTTTCATGATCTTCCATCACTGCTCCCTCGCGCAGCCGGGTTATGACGTTACCCCGGCATCACTACAGTGCGCAATAGAGCAGTGCTGGAAGAGCACAAAGATGACAGCAGTCACAGGGAACCCACAATAAGGATCCACTCCACCTCTCCCAAAGGTAGGAAAGCTGGTGGACATAAAAATAATAAAAACATAATTTGTGAGTGTGTGTCAGTAAGGCCATCTGTCTGTGTGTGTTAAATCAGTGAGTATGTCAGTGTCCTCTGTGTAACTGTGTGTCAAATCAGAGTGTCTGTCGGTGAGTATGTACTCTGTGTGCAACAAATATATGTGTATTATATTTTGTGACTTTTATACTTCACATTAATAGTTCATACACAATATTCACATTATGTCATTTATATTAATAAAATACATTTTCATTACTACCTTTAATCAGGCTAGTTCAATATGGGATTAATCTAAATATCAGTGTCTACGTGTTTTATTTGGAATTTAAAATCAATAGAAATGACTCTCTCAAGGCAGGAGTATTTAGGAAAAAAATTAGATCTGCAGGGGTAATTCTCTGTAAAAAAGGTTAAGAAACACTGCTTTACGTGATTTCATGTAGTAAGTGCAATCAATGCCATCACACACGGGATGTGATCCTCCTCATCAACTTCAAGAACCCTTTTACAAACGACTTTAATAGCTAGTTTGTATTTGGATATTTAATGATATATAAGTGTTTACACTATCAGTCTTACAAACTAGTTTCCCTAACCAGTAATCCAACAACATTCACCATTTTTTTCCTTTGTTTTGTTTTTCAAAACCGCTTAAAAAAGGGACATTAATAAAAAGTGTTTTAGTTGCCTTGGCTCTGTCATTTTAGCCCTGTGAAGAACAACAGTGCAGTTTTGGATGAACCACCGTAGATTTTTAAAAAAATTTTTTAGCTAATCCCTCCTCTATTGGCGGTCTCTCAGACAGCCACTAACTGGTGCTTCCTGGATTTTAGTGGAGTAAAACTCTGCTGTCAGACATTGAACGTCCTCACGCTATAGGGGGCTGTAAACAATCTACATTACTTCGGAAGCATTGATTCAAAGCTTTTCTATGGTGAAAGCTTGAAAGCACATGCCCATTAGGACCCCCTTGCTTCTCTAAGAGGAACATTGGATTGGATCATCGGCAGAGGAGGCCATGCATCCTCCGTGATGTCACTAGAGAGGGGAGCTAAGCAGCGCCCAGAGAACCTTGGTAATGGAAAGAGGCTGGAAGTAAAAATCCAGGGACACTATAACATTAGGAATGCGGGTTGATGCTACCATCCTAGTGCCAGGTCGGCTATGTCCCCTGCAGCTGCATAGTTATCAAGATTAGAGTGCCCCTTCAGTGCAAAAAATGGTAAGTCGGAGGGGGCTCAACTATATATATATATATATATATATATATATCCAAAACAACCAGAGTATTGTTGTATGCATTGATACCTTTTTTTCTTTTTTTTTAACTCTCAAGATTCTCCCCCCCCCCATCTCTGAAGCAATACTGGTTATTTTGGCATCTTGTCTACTGGACTAATATTACTTATCTATTATATCTCTCCCTATATCTATACATGACAGATACAGTATTGAGCTGAGCAGTGATGCATGTGAATACACAAATACTGTGAAAATAGTAGCTAAATTAAGTAATCAAAAACCACACTGCCAGCGATAGCCTCATCCCATCCCCATTCTGTCTGATTTTGCTGAATGTGGCCTGCATTAGCATTGCACCTAGATTCCACAAAGTCTCTCCAAAGGCAAGTCCAAGCCCAGCTCCCAATATCCACAAGCTAAGTTCCGAGTAGTCAGCCTCTATAGAGGGTTCCAGCTGGGTAGTAGATATTACAACATGCCCCACCATAGCTGTGCCCACAAACCCAAAAGTAGGTTTCTTTGCCACCACACGGTAACTCTGTGGAGGATGCCGTCCTGCTATAGGAGACAGGAATTCTAAAAAAACATGTTATTGAACCTGGACAATGAGGAAGCAATGGCTAATGCTCTCAAGTCTCCCGTTTCCATCTCTGCATAGGCCAGGCATCCCCAAATTCTGTCCTTCCAGATGTTGCTGAACTACAACTCCCATGATTCTCAGCCTATTTCATTCATAGAATTATGGGAGTTGTAGTTCAGCAACATCTGGGGGTTGGGAGGCTGAGTTTGGGAAAGCCTGGAATCTGGATAAACCCCTTCAGTCCAAAGAAGAGAGGGCAGGTATGTGAGATCCAATCAGTCTGGTACCGTGCCAGAAGAGCCTCCGTCTCTCCCACGCCAGTACTACTTGTAGGCTGCTAGAATCTCGATTCCAGGCAATAACAAAGGCAAATACCCCCAGATTCACCAAGTTAAGTGTGGATGCACTTAGTGACATTTTCTTCCCCCAGAGAAAAATTATTGTAAAACTCCTCGCACAAATACATAGGTTTAGTATTTGCTCTGATGTTGAGCAATTGTATTAGTCCTTAGAGGACGACTTCACACACAAAAGTATTTCAGCTTTCTGAAGAGCGTTATGCGTAAGGAGCTTTTCATGTTTAATTGCCGTTTAGAAAAGAGGTGCAGATTTCTATTTGAAATAAGAACCTTTAGAAATTGCAGAAACACTTTCCTGGCTGTCTGACGGCCCATAAGGTTATCTTCCCGATTCCGTTAACTCCACAGAGCTAACTGTAATGACAGGTGCTTGCTTGCGGATCAGAGGCTTCTCGTTGAGGCTGAGAGTCTGTGCTGGGAAAAGGTGAAGGTTTTGCAAAGGCTGCAGATAAGAGATCTGTAGCTTTTGCAAGATGTTACTAGCTATAGCTCCCATATAAAAATAGAGATTTTAATGTTTTCATGGGATATATCTACTAAATAGTGTTTTATTCAATCCAGTGGCGTGTTCAATGTTTGAAATTCAACGGCTCATTAAAAGCAGCACAGTCACGTCTCGCCTTTTTTCAGACTAGCCCAGGGCTAATCCTAATCTTCTCTGCCAAACAAATTTAGCAATACAAATTGGGCCCATTTTCCTAAAAATACAAAATTGCAAAGCTAAATAAATCCCATAGAGCATCACACAGTTACAGAAACAGAGCTCATTAGACAGTGCATAGTTGGGACGTTATCAGTCAAAATAGCAAACTCACACTCTCAGGGATTTTCACCAACGTGATCATGCAAAGTGAATTTAATTTAAGGCCACATTGGAAATTTTTTTGAAAGTCAGCTATGCTTTTAGTTCAGCTAATTTGGCCCAAAATTCACTTTGATTTCTCTTTTTATTTTTTAAATTCTTTATTTTTGACGTGCTGAGCCACATAGTCATGTTAGTACATACATAACAGTAATAATTTGCATTACAAGACAATTTGTGACGTTGAACAATTTTTGTCAAGGAATTAACATGTTTGTTAAGGGAGTATCAATGGTAGCTCCTCTAAGCTCATATGTCGATCAAGACAAAATACTAGACCTGAAAGTTATATCAAACTGTACAATAAAACTTTTTATAAGTTGTGAAATATGGTCGAGTGCCAACTATCAAGTTATTATTTTTACAAATCTCTTGTCTCAATGTAACGAGGCACGTTTATACAATCCGCTTCTTGGTAGGCGGTTTGCTGTACCCATGATTTCACAGAGTGAAAACAGTATAATTATCAGATGTTGCCACTACCTTTGACTTTTTTTGTTAACACCGTCATATTTTAGTATGTTTGTACCCTTAAAGAGAAGGGTAGAAAGTGAGAAAAGTGAATAATCCTGCTTGATGACAAACACAAACACCGCAATGCAGACAGAGAAGGAAAGTTGCATTTTCCATTTTAAGAATATAATTTCAAGAAAGATTTCTGACAATCTGGTGTTCACATTATTGTTATGGTCAGTGAGGTAGTCTGCACATCCAGTGGGAGCAGATCACTCCCAGAGCTCCTTTTACAATTCTGACGTGCCAGGACAGTACAGCAGCACAGAAAGTGATCTGCTCAGGGCACCCCCTCCGAGCTGGAGTTCCAGGCCAAGAACATTAGTTTTGCAAAAGTAAGGCAAATATAAAATGAAGATTTGTTTTTATTTTTTAATATGCTTTAAAAAGGGACATTGTAAACATTATAACCCATACAGTTCCAGCCCTCTCAGCTAATCAGTTGCTGCCCAACTTGGATGAAATTGTATATTGAGGATACAAAAAGTGTTAATTCTATTCTGTCAATGTGGCCAAGATGGGGGCCTGTGTGCCGAGAAGAGTTCCTAAAATGTTTTGATATTAAACAATGAGGCAGCACTAGGAAGCTCTAAGCATCCTGACCACATAACGACTTGGAGGTAGTATCTTACATAGTGTGTCCCTTTAAATGAAAATAGAAAAAAATTATAAAATGTATACAAAAATATATGTTTAAGTTTAGAAAGAAGCCATGCGATTGGAAAGTAAGACGTCTCAGCTGTCCAAGGAAATGTAACATTTTGGCGAGGTTTCTTGTCCCGATAGAGCCGAATAAGCTTTTGGTGCTAAATGGACATTTAAATAAATGGCTTCCAGCTGTCAGACACGCAGAATCCTGTCTGCATTCCTGGCACGTATGATTTAATGAAATGTACAGCGATAATCTCAATTCAATCATTAAAATAAAACACTTTAAACCTTGCATGACAAAAATCACATCTTATTCCAATCCAAATGAAATTTTAAACCAGTTCAGTGAATGGAATGCTGTATGTCATCAGGTGGGTGCAAGGGAAGTAAGGGTTAAGGTAAAATATCAATATTAAGACACAAGTGAGAATCTACCTTTTCTATGTTCAGTATCAGGGTTAAACATCAGTTTGAAGAAACACAACAACCCCATAGCTAAATAAATATTTGCAAGCTTTATTTCCCACAATGCTCAGCGAGACACTTGGTGGTGTCGATGTAAGGGTCCCCATACTACCCCATCAGTAAAATGCAGGGCTTAGAACTGGGACGAACAAGCTGTAGGTGTGTAGATTTGAGATATACCAGCAGTGTAATATTTACATAATTTACAGAATATGTCCGTCATTTTATACACCAGTTAGCGTCACACATCACCGGAGTAACAAATATAAACAGAGAATCCCCAGCATTTAATTATGAAAGCCAAACTGTCACTTTGAACATGTTTTCGGAGGGTGACACTGCAATGGATGCAGACACCGGCTCACACGTAAATGAGAGCCCTTGATTTATATATGTTTGCCTCTTTACCCGTTGATGGATCTCCTTCACAAAACCTTATAGCCGAGGTATGCATGTAAAAGTCATATCGCCCTGTCCATTTACTTAGGGGCTTAACTGGTTCATCAAATTAAATTAAACAAAGCTGTACAATATTATGCTATTATTATGACTATTATGATTATCACAGAGCTCCACAGCAATAAGACTCACAATGTGCTGTGCGTATGGCTATATCCCAGAGCTCCAAAGCAATAAAACTCACAGTAATGTGCGTTGAGTGCAAATGTATGACAAACCTGCCCACAAGCACACAAACAGATGTGGAAACATTAAAATGACCAGCTTGCTGAAGGAGTTTATGGTTGAAGGGTATCCCATTGAAAAGGCATTTTTATCATTAAATAATAAACACCCCCAGGCTGTCAAACAGCCTGGATGGTTTGCTACCTGCATCCGTTACCTCCCTTGAGCTAATGGAAACGGCAGGCGCTCTTTAGTCAGGTGTGCTTGTCTCATGCGCATGCCTCTCAGACAGGCAATACATGCACACCAGGGACAGATATAGAGGAAAAATGCATGCATGTATTCTTTGGGGTATGTTTTCTAAATAGTGACTTTATGAGTAAGTGTGAAGTGGTCCTTTAAATCCAGTAATATGTAATTGATAAAGACCATGAGTACAGTAAATTCATACCTTCAATTAAAGTTACTTTTAGAATGATAAATGCTAAACCTCGTCCCATAAATGGTTAAAGTAACGGCATCCACTGGGTACATCATGTGATGCTTCGTGCCAGCGAATATGAAAGCTTTATTGTTTAGGCTTCCTTGGAGTACAGCACAAACATTTAGCTTCCTTATCACAGATTATAATTGGAGATTTCACGACAACATTGAAAAGGCCGCTCTCTGAAACCATTGCCAAGCGCGCATTCTGAAAAATATGGTCATCTTAAAAGGACACTGGTTAGGTTCCAGACATACTATGAGGGGAGGGTATAAATGGGTCAGTATAAGCATTTGGCATTACTGCAAAGTACATGGTACCTGGAGTCCACACTACGTGTTTAATAATGGCTTATAAACAACAAGGCCGGTTAGTAAGGCAGCCCAGAATACTTTGCTCGGTTGCCTGTGCTAATTTTGATCCTATTGTGTTTGCAATATGTATACGTTGCATGTTTATTTGGAGCGGAGTCCCAGGCCATGCATGTGCAATCCTCCACTCTCTAAAACATTAACATTAACAGCCCAATTCATTAAACTGTCAATAACTGTTACCGATTCATTGAGCATTTCCCATCACCCTGTGATAATTGGAACTGCTCGTTGGACATAAATTACTTATCTCAAAACTCTGCTTGTGTGGGAGATTATGGGATAAAATCAGTAGCTATTGACCAGAATTGAGAGAACCTGGATTGGTGTTGGAGGAGATATTCTGTTGCAGTGAATGGGTTTGCAGGGTTAGAGTTTTGCGTGTTGTTGTTTTTTTTTTCTAAACTTGGGCAATATTGTTTTTAGAAATTATATCAATGATTACCCTTTAAAAGGGGGTATACTGGCTCAGGTTATATTTAGCTAATCAGCAGAGGGTTTTTATTTGTCAATCTGTTTTGGTGTTAGAGTTAGTATTAACTAGTTTTTCGTTGTAAATCTATCCCCTCCCTTCCGCACAGAAAGTGGCTTATTTCCCTTTAATATCCTCAATATACTGCATTAAAATATGGATGGATTTGCTTTTCGCAGGGGGTTCTCTATCCTTGTCTGTTGTGGATCCCTTTCATAAAAAGGAAACATTATATATAAATGTTTTTAAATGAAAAGTTATTTGAAAAAGTACTAATCATCCAAAAATAGATGCGCTGTGGCTGCTATGTAAACTCCCTCCCTGGCACAGTTAGTGCTGGGTAGGGTGTATAGGAAACGGAGGGGCGTGACTGGCAACAAAGCCATATATATAGAGAGAAGAGAGGAGGACGAGATATAGAAAGGAGAGGAGGCAGGCTGTAGAGGCAGTAGGGGGCACCAGCGATGGCTTCATGGAATTGGCTCGGTCTATGGAGGTGAAGCTGCAGCAGAGGGCTGTCCGGAAGAGAAGGGCGTCAACAGGTTCAGGTAAGTAGAACTCACTTACCCCCCAGCAGCAATGCCACCATTGGGAGTCTTTGCAAACTATGCAAAATCTCCAACAGTGCTGCTTTAACCGATTTTTCGATATACAACTTGGTGGCAACAAGACTGCTCACGTAGTTCGTTAATACACAGACTGCAGCAGTTGTTCACACCTCAGGGTCGCATGTGCTATGCCTATGCCCAATATACCTGGCTCAGCCTTTCATTGTCTCAACAGAACAGCCATCTTCTCACATCTAGAATATTATAATGCAACATCTGTATAACTTATACAGTTATTATAGTATGTAGAGAACACTAAATTATACACCCAGTCTCTGCTATATATTACTTAAAGGGACACTGTAGGCACCCAGACCACGTCAGCTAATTGAAGTAGTCAGGGTGCTGTGACCCTTTTGCACTTACTGCTGCAATGTAAACATTGCAGTTCCAGAGTAACTGCAATGTTTACATTGCAGCTCTAAGTCTTCCCTCAGTCAACCACCAGAGGGACTTCTGAGTTGATGGAGGCATAATATGCCTCCATCCACTCAGATCTGCTGTCAGCAGAGCACAGGGCAGCACTGCGCACAGCATCCTGTGATTCAGTATCTCCTCCCTCCGCATGCAGACACTGAACTTTCCTCATAGAGATACATTAATTCAATTCATCTCTATGAGGAGATGCTGATTGGCCAGGGCTGTGTTTGAATCATGTTGGCTCTGCCCCTGATCTGCCTCTTTGTCAGTCTCAGCCAATCCTATGGGGAAGCATTGTGATTGGATCAGGCTATCACATGTCAGCAGACTGATTGTTTTTCTGAGTCTAACAGCATGCAGATTTACAGCTTCAGCCTTGAATACAGTAAGATTTTTACAATATTTATGGAGGCATGAGGGGCCCAGAGGGGCTAGATTGTGGTGTTAACACTATAGGGTCAGGAATACATGTTTGTTTTAGTGACTATAGTTCTATAGTGACCCTTTAACCATGTATCTAGAATTGTACGGTGTAGTTCTTCTACTGTATATGTAACATTGTAATTATATGTGTTCCACAGGACAAATATGAAAACGAGAGAGAACAATGTATGTAAAATATTTTATAAACTATGAATCCATTCTAATAATAATATCTACCCTATATTTGCTCGTTTACGTACCTAATGTCTGCTATGTAATCTGTTTGTGCACTCCTATATGTGAAATTATACATACCAATCAGGTGTTTCCTATTTGTTTATGATTTAAGGTGAAATTATATCCATGGTTATTTATATAAAGGAAACGACTTTCCTGTTGCTTACATTGTTTTACTTCCTATCTACTTAAAGACAAATTATAAACCCCTGGAAAAAAAATAAAGTTGGATATAATAACATTTTAAAATGTGTACCATTTCCTGTTATCGGTTTATATTTTCTATGCAGTTAACACACAGGTTTAAAGTTCACACAAACCTGACTTTCATACAGTGTGCTGTAAAAGCCACTTAAGGTCTATATTATAAAAAAATACAGATTTTTTTTTCTTTCAAACTTTCTTTTTAGAGAAACATATAAATGTCCAATTTTGAGGAACGTAAAGAGAGAGCAAGCAGTTCAGTTTCATTTTCTTGCAGTTTAGAATACCCAACATATAGATCGTGGCGACCACATTAGTGGTAGGATTCTCATGATGCCTTAGTAATGGTAAAACAGCATAGGTGATGTGGCAGAACCAGCCACCTATTTGTATTAGAGACTGTTCTGTTCATAGTTGTGGCTTTTCTAGTTCGACAATTAGGGTTCACCGAACAGACCATAGCTATATTCTTCGCATACCGAACCATTGGCCGAACAGTTGGACCACCTAGGTGAGTCGTGTGCCTCCAATTGACTTTATTCACACTTAAAAACCGCAAGGTTCTAGGCGGTTGGCTGGGTGGCCGTCGTTCATATGACCGAACACATGGTGGCGGCCATCTTTGTCCACGAACACAGACATCGGTGTGTAGTCAGACACTTGACGGCGCAAACACCGCTGAACTACCACCCCTTCGTGTGTTCGGTTCAGTTCACCTGGAAAGAGCGACATTCGTATGAAACAAACTACCGAACACGGGGCACACAATCCCCTGCTACACGAATGGTTTCATTCATTATTTTCTATGTTTTATACTCCCGAAAGAAGACCGGTCTAAGGCTAGTAATCTCTGGAACTGTTTTGGGGCTTCACCTCATGGTCGACCGGTCTGAACTTTACTCGAATGGCGTTCCAAAACCACCCAACGGATCGGAGGGATATTTTGACAAGGTGGGCTCTCAGATTCCAGCTATTTGATAAAGTAACTTTTGGGGAGTTCTGAAGTTTTAAAATTTATTTTATACCATTTATAAATATTGTATATTTTCTGTACCTGGGAGATAATGTAATTAAAGAGTTGTTCTTACTCAGGTACTCTCCCAGGTACAGAGGAGTCATCTGTGAAATGTTTATTTTTTGCATGTCTCCACTCAGGTCCACCGGGGAAAAACCCCTGGAATGTAATTTAAGAAACCCCTTGCATGGGGAGTTGCATAAAAGCCAGCTGTGGCAGAATAAAAATGAGTTGACTCCCAGAACTGTGTATCGTCCGGTTACTGGGGAAATTGCAATTAAATTGCTACACTGCGCTTATCTTGGATGTTCTACAGTCTACCAGCGGAGATATTGATTTTAATATTGTAGCTCCGCTACAGGTGGCATTCTAGAACAGCTGAGAATCTAACGTTTGCTTATATATTACTGCAGACACCACTGTAGAATGTCAAAAGGTATTAGCCAGACAGTACAAACAATGTATTTACAGTCATTGACAGATCAATATCACGTCAGTGATTGTACAAAGCAAAATGCCTTTACACACCGAGGAAATGGCAGTAGGTCTTGATCCGTTTATAAAAGTAAATTACAAGCTCTTATTGCCCTGAAGGAAACGCTATAATAGAGGGAGGATTAGCGAGACCCTGTTTTGCTGAGTCAGTTATGTCAAACCCAGCTGCCCTGCATTCACGCACAGACTTGCTCATTCTGGATATAAAAAAAAATAAATAATCATTTTAAAAAAAGTTTACATTCTTTAAGCGAAGCAAGAACTAACCAGCAGATTTTGATTTCCCCCAAGAACTGTGTGAATCTGCATATGTATCAGAAAAAATAAATAAAAGTAGTTTAAAATATGGCTTAAAAATGTTGTCCAGGCAGCATGGCCAAAACAGACCGCAGTAGTGGTTACAACCTCTGGCAGCCTGGGGGTTTCAAAGCAAAGCGCTGCATATGCAGACTACAAGGACCATAACTACTTCAAATACCTGGGGTGGTCGCGGTGTTTGGAGTAACCCTTTAACATGGACTTATACACAGATTTTATACTGCACTGTAGTTAATTTTGATGAACACACAGGGATACATAGAATTTTTAAATTATGATATCCATTGGGTACTTTGATCCACACATTTAGTCAAGATTGATGAAAAGATGTAGAACATTTTCTTCGTAATCTGCTTGTATAGGTTTGTTTTTAAATGTTTCATTTTTCAAACGGATTTAAAAGAAATTAAAGGTCACACGTAAAAGTGCAGATTTCAAATTAGACATTTGCCTAAATTAATCTTGTTACACCCCCTTAGCTGTCAATCAGATAATCGATCCTGTTACTTCCTGGTTGCTGAAATCAATGGAGCTAAACTCAAGAGGCAACAATTGCCCAGAGCACCTGGCTGGCAAAGACTTCTCATTGAGCTGCATTGGACAGACACAGAAAATCTGGGACCATCCACATGTCTAATGGACTATTATTCCCATTACGTCTTCTCAAAGCAGGCTGTATAAACTGTAAAAGTACATGTTAAATTATACATAAATTGCATTACACGATATTTCACAAATTTTCCTGACTGATTTACAATTCACGTTTCAGTGGTTAGCAAATACATCCCCAAAGAACATTCACAACCATAAAATTTCACCAAGTTCTTCTGCGAGGACGGTTGAATATTGCAAGAACAATAAGGATTTTTAGGGGCATTATGACTGGGTTAGTTAAACACAGCTGCCCCTCAAAGTCCTTCATTTTTCTTGCGGTCTGCTGGTTCCTCTGATTTTCTGGAGACAAAAAATATTCTCATAGAGCATCATAAAAATAACAAACATCAGCATAACTTTTCTTAAGGCGTTTCCTGATCAAAGCACAACTCCCTTAAAATGATTATAATCACTTTTTATACGAACGGTGTTTATGAGAGATCCAGACGCCGTAACACAATTTACCAAGATAGACGCTGAACTGAAGACTAAAGAGACACTATAGGCACCCAGACCACTTCATCTCACTGCGGGGTTAAAGGGACACTGGATCCAGGCTACTTCATCTCACTGCAGGGTTAAAGGGACACTGGACCCAGGCCATTTAATCTCACTGCAGGGTTAAAGGGACACTGGACCCAGGCCACTTCATCTCACTGCGGGGTTAAAGGGATACTGCACCCAGACCACTTCATCTCACTGCAGGGTTAAAGGGACCCTGGACTCAGGCCACTTCATCTCACTGCGGGGTTAAAGGGACACTGAACCCAGGCCACGTCAATGGAAAATATTGCAGTTTCTGGAAGTACAATAATATTTACATTGCAGGGTTAACTCCTCCCCTAGTTAAACAACACAGGACGTCCACCTTGAAAATCCCCACAGGAAACCATTGATTAAATGCTTTTTTCTATGGGTATCGCCAATCGCCGTGACGTCTCGGTAGGAGGAGATCCAGTGCTGAGAAACCTCTACTGGAATCAGGACACACACACACATTACACATAAGAATGCAGGTTTTAAATTAGACAATTGCACTTTTACAGATTAACCTTCCTACACCCAATCTCGCTGTCAGACAACAGGTAATGTTACTTCCTGGTTTGGTTAGCTCAGTGGAGCTAAATTCAAGAGGCAGAAATTGCCCAGAGCACCTGCCTTGCAAAGACTTCTCATTGAGCAACATTGGGAAGTCTGTGATTGGACAGACACACAAGTAATTGCTTTCAAAGGCTTCAGAAAATAGATTTTGCTAGCTGTTTTTAGAAATACTCTCAAGGGAAAAATAAATAAAATTAAATGTTGTCATTAGGGACATGTCTACTAAATAGTGATTATAAATTTAAACTGTGCAATGTCAACATTATTCACCAATATGTAAATTTATCAGGAATTAAAAATGAATTTCAACATTTAGGGAAGAGGGAGGATACAAAAAAACGCTGAACTGAGAACATTTTTTTAAATTCTGCTATAAAATCTGAAATTCTCTCTGAATTAACTAACAGCTCACAGTTTAGTGAACGCTGACAGTTATTCACTGAATTCCAAGCTAAAATCAGAACAGTCAATTTTTGGTTCAAAACAGCCAGTCTGTGGCTATGGTTGAGTTGAAGAGGTTTTCCTGTTAAGCGATTTCAATCTAAATTTTGACATATAAACTGATGTCAACTCGACAATGAACCTTACAAAAAAATTAAGTAAATTAACGGTTTAGAAATAAAAACCAACTTAACATTTTTTTCTACAATAGTGGATATGGGAAAGTGCTGTCAGTTCAGTGAACTACGCCAAAAATTTTACATTTGTTTTGAATTTCCAACAATTTACACATTAAAGGGATCCTATAGTGTAAGGAATACAATTCTTAAAACGTCTCCAGTACAAAGTGGGGATTACAAGTGAATTTCTGAATTTGGATCATAGTAACATTCCAGTTTGTCTATTTCATCCTAAAATTTGCATTTACACAAAGTTTCACGATTTGGTGAATAAAACTGGCATATCCAAGTAAATGGGCACATTAAACGACGTTTCCAATATATAACACTGTTAAAAGTGAGCAAAACTGCAATGATCAAATATCTATTATTTTGCTACATCAATGTAAATAAAAAAATGTAATTTATTACAAATTTTGCAAAAATTATACGTAATCAAAAACAGTACGAAACGATACATTTTTATTTCCGTCATAGAATAAATAAATAAATAAAGCCTTTGTTGGAAACAAATAGTAAATCAGTTACTTTAACAAACAAGACAGGAACATTGCAAGATATTTAGACCACAAAGACATCATTGAAATCTGTCAGTTGGATTTTGTTGCCCAAGAACAACTTACAAATATAACTTTGATCATGTATTTGCAGAGGTACATAAAGTCCAGACAGAGTGTGTAGTGTTCCGACACAGAACTACATTAGAAAAAAAATAAATAATAAAAAGCACTTCCATTCACAACTCTCTAATGAATGGAATTAAAATTGTGTGCTCTATACTAATCCCTTCCAATCAGTGTTTAAGATAACCATAGCAACTCATTGTAGTTGTTATGGTACTTAGAGTCTGTGAGCGCTGCATCCACCGACGATTTGTGTCAGGAGTTCTTAATAAATATGGGGAGGGGGCTACTGCTTGGCCTTTAATGTGAATAAGTTGATTTCCCCACTACCCCATCCTGCATCACAGGAATTGGAGTTTACAAACGTGCAAGTCTAGCCATTCTTTTATCTGTGAGTTTGTGAGCATCGCTTGATGCTCAATCTGGTACATAGCGAAGAAAAGTGAGGAACTAATTTAGACCCACCTCGCAATCATTATATTTAACATTCAATTATCGATAAAAACGTTACCGTCCTGCTGTTGCTGAAATAGCATTTATTAAAGTACAAAAAGAAAACGACAGATATAGGTGACGGTTGCCTGGCCCCAGTTAATTAAATAGATCTCATTAAAACGTTAGCACATAAACAAAGGTTACAGCGCGCAAACAGATGTTGGTTATTTCAGTCATTATATAAAAGCACAGTTACTAAGTGCTGCTGTAAACTGTATACATTAACCACCTACCTCAAAGCATCTTTAATTCAATATTACAATATGTTTCTACCGGATTCAGTGTGGGTACCCAATTATACAGCACTGTGTCTTCAAATATGAGAAGGATGGTGAACTTTGGCACCAGAGGTTTAAAAACTAAACTATAGTTCTCACGATCCATAGCTATCCTTTAGAGTCATAGGAGTTACAGTCCACGGTATTTTGAAAACAGGAAGCTCATAGCCTCAAATTTCCCCCAATACTAACTACCTCCAAAGTTACTTCAGGTAAACATTACAGCGCCTTAAAGGGCCCTTCAATTGTGCCTCGATCTTTTAATTGCAGAAATATTATAGCAAATTTTTTTAAGATTGTATTTTTTTTAAAAGTCAGCTTTTTAAAATTTTCTGCAATGAAGACAAAAGTTGCTAATAAAACCAGATCGCGCATGTTCATTAATGATCGGTTTTTACAGAGGACAAAGATTAACGACTTTCTATATCTGGGAATATTACAGTAAAATCTCTCATTATGGCTAAACAAGAACATATCTATCACTCAACAGTGAATTAAAAACCCAAAACGCAAGACGTGTTCTGATTTGGACAAATTCTCAAACGCTGCTATTATCACCGTCTGGCTATTTTAGGCTGAATTTTGAGGTTTGTTTTATAATACACTGTTTAGTGAATAAATTCTAAAATATTTTTCAGACTTTTATTTTTTTAAACAGAAATTGTCAGAATTCACTGGGGAATTTACAGCCAAGATAGCTGAGCTGTACGCATTGCGGACTATGAATTTTTCCAGTTTGGCCATTAGCATAGAATTTGTAATTCCGCAGTGAATGCCCCAAAGATTTATGGTTCCCAGAATAACCCTGTGAGAATGCAAAACATTAAATCTGAAATATTTAGCCATTCTCCGGGAAAACAGGATAAATTAAATCCTTCACAAATCCTTTTCTACTGAAAAACAGCAGCAGGTGTAACCCGAGATGGAACATTCTCTGCAAATTAATTTCTAGGAATTAATATAAATGTCTGCAAACACGATTTTATCTGTGACTCCTCTTAAGATAAACTTTCTAAGAAAAAAAAAACTGACTTTACAGATAGTTTTGGAGAAGTTTGTTTCCTTAAAAATGGACTCTCTGTCTGGGATTTAAGCCACTAATTTTTACCACATTGTGATAATGTGTTACAAAAATAAATGTAAAAATAAACCATGAAAATGGAAAAATAAATAATTCGAAACAAAAAAAATGTCACGTGAGCTTCCTGCATTTACTGTAAACCTCCACGCTTTGCAGCTTCTGTATTGAGCGCTACTCAGACCAGGAAGTGACTCTGCCAATCACGATGCTTCTGTACATTTCTATGGCTGAACTTCTCCCACACATCTCTGCACAGCACAAGGATGTGAAATTGTGGCAGTTTGCAAAGATAGAAAATATGGTGTACTGGGGCAAGGCTCGGAGAGCTGCCGATTCAACAAATGCATATTTAGAGAGAGAATTCATTTTTTTTAAATCTGTGACTGATCAATTGGTCGATGAATCTGCCCATTTGCCATGCAAATCCAAATCAATTTTTCCTGCTCTGCTCATTTAAGGTAATTTACAACCAACACTCATTATAAGAGCAGAATTTGTCTGATGGTGTTATTCAATAAATTGGACGGTACAGAGAATGGCCATGGAATTTGCTTTTTTTTTTTTAAAGACAAAATAGGATTGGGGACCTTTTCCGGTTCTGCTATTTTGGAATAAAATTTGCAAACTTATCAATTCTCCGTAATTTCCAATTTACAGAATAACTTTAACTGTGTTGAACGACTAGTCTGCATCCAGCTACTGGTCTTGTTTAGAATTTGCCATCATACGTTGCCACCATTTTGACTTTGTGTCACCTCTGTATGTCAATCTTTATGCTGGCTGCCGTGGGAACGTGTTGCATATATTAACCCCTTACTTGTCCTTTGGATTTTGAGATCCTGTATCACTGATTTTCTCCATTTATAAATGTCCACACAATTAGCACAAATAGTAAATCTCACCTTATTCTCTAGTTAATCCTTGACATTCACTGGGCCAGAGCTTGCAGTGGTGATTCTAGCACAACTTTTTTTTCTCGCATCTAGAACCCCTTCTCCTTGCCTTAAAAGACTAATGTGAGCATCATGACCACTTCAGTGATTTGAAGTGGTTGTGGTGCCTGTGGTCTGTATGTATGTGCAGCGATTCATAGCAAAACACTCCACATACAGAGTTAATCCGTTTTTACTTTTGTGTAACTCCACTTCCGGCAGCGTCCCTGAGTTGTCGTTATCCAGCTCGGAACAACAAGTTCTATCCTGGCCAATGTCAATTCTGTGCATATTAGCAGTCTGACGCCAACACACACAGCATGCTGGTGACACGTTAGCATGTCCCTGTTCTCCGGCAAGGTGGGGGGGGGAACGTCGGCAGAGGAGAATCGGGCTGCAGGGATAACTTGGCCTGACTTTTAACCATTCCCTTTCCCACTTTTCTTGGGCTGAGAGACATTTTTTTGTATGGAGTAACCCTTTAGGTCAGCAACTATGTATAACGGCTTCCATGGCCCTCACTTCAGACATCTTAAAGAACAACAAAGCTAGAAGTTAATGGAGGAATACCCAGAGCGTGCAATGTATATGCCACTAGACCACCCAGACTAAACATGGCTGCTTGGAGTAGTGGGGGGGCAAGGAAGGTTTCTGGCAAGGAGTAGCCCCTGGAGCTGGGGTGAATCTACTTAGTTGCCTGGACCCAGGGAAGCAAATAGGTTTAATGCAATGCATTGTGGGACAGCGTCGGCATGTGAATACCACCGGCTTATAACCTGAAACAGTGCGTCAGCCAAACGCCATGTTTCACTAGCCATACATTAACAATCACAGCCTACAACAGGGCAGGAGAGGGGATCGCGGGGGCACCAAGCCAGGTACATAACTAACACACCGGCCCTGTCACAGGAGAATTAGACTTACCCCCTCTGGGGAGGTCCATTGGTTTTTTTAAAAGGGAAAGTTATAAACTATGAAAAAAAAATATATAAAAAGTGGACAGTGGGGTCTGAGTCATATCACCTCTTCTATACAGAACTGCGCTGTGTGTGTACACACAAACATTCAAAATGGCAGCTGATTCAATTATAGGTAAATAATGAAAATAGGATCCAAAATCCAAGCACAGAGTAATACTCTGCAAACCAGTCACTAAAGAGTCACAATATATTTGGAGTCTCGCCTTAGGGCGACATAGTGCATCTTTGTATAAAAAATGACCGAGCCAGAAAATCCTTTAAATTAACTGGGGACAAAAAGAAAAAGACCCCCAGGTACTGAAGAACAGCCTTAACACAGGTAAAGCATCACGAAAAGCGAACTTCTTTATCTTATAAGATGTTCATGCGACAGTCTGCATGTTTTCGGACTCCTACTGTGTTAAACTTTGCGAGGGGGGGGGGGGATGGTTTCTGGAACAATAGCCAATCCTACACATAGGTAACTGCAAAGTGTCAGCAAATATTCACAGCAAACAATACAGATCTAATGGGTTAATGTAAATAACACTAAAGTTTTATTCACTAAATATTAAAAATGACAATGGATTGAAATCAAGTTGTCTAATTCTACCCAGAGTAATCGGCAATTTGGAGAATTTTTTCTAAAATCAGCATTAATTGCCTAAACGTTGCAGCTCCGTTCACAATTCACTGCTTATTGAATACACCCCCAAGTACGCAATCAGGCAGCAATGTAGTTAGGACACATAATTCCCCATGGGCTGGTAAACTGGCGGATTTGGAAAGATCATAACTATTGCATGTACATGGACAGAGTGTCGCGTCAAACTGATCCAATAAAAGAGCTTTAGAGTAAAAAAAAATTTTTACAAATAAATAGATGACTTAAAATTTCGCAAGAAGTGTTTGCAAAAAGTACGGACTTGGAATAAAAACCAAAACAGACCAGATGAGGTTGTTCTGGAAATCGTAAACTGCGGAGAACTAAAAATAAGATTTCATATTTAAAGGCCAAACCAGCCAAATTTAAAAAATGTTCTCCGGTTTAGTTATTCCGGCCTAAAACCTACAATTTTCCGATCAATTCAGGTTTAGAGAATAAGTTTAATACTGAAATAGTTAAAATATAAACAATTGGAAATTTTGAAGTGTGCATGAATTTCTAATTAACTGACTGATTTTTTTTATCCAAACTTGGTTTACGTTAGTTTGTAACAAAACCCCATATAAAAAATATATTTTCTCTCTATATTATATACACACATAAAAATTTTCATTGTACCTAGTCTATAAAGAGGCTTATTCACTAAACATTGAATTATAGCACACAAATAAAACTGATTTTTTTTTTTTGCCTAACTTAGCCAAGCTGTCAATACAGCTGAACGTTCTGTATCAGCTATTTTTTACTTCAGTTTTCTATAGTTCGAATTCTAATCGATTAAGCCCAATAGCCAAACGAACCCAATAAGCATCACTATACCTTTCAGACATTGACTAGCTCCATTTTATTCCCAGAACAAACAGGGAGTGGAAATGGACACGAGAATGGCAATAGTTCATCTAAATTAACTATACATTTTCTAGCGACGATATTTTGCCTAAAATCTGCAGTTCTCTAGTCATTTCTCCCCAATTCCCGATGTAGTGGATACACCTCACAGGATCCACAAGTTCTACGTAAACCAGAGACCTCTGAAATCTACACAAGGCCCAAATTATGCTTCAAACACAGAATGAGTTTTTGCAATCACTAATTGACTGTTAAACTGAGAGAGTACAAGACAAAAATGCACTTCTGGTCTCAAAGGGGCGTTTAGCAAGACTACTTATTAAAAAGCGTTTTCACTTAACTGGGACAGATCATTAAGGTAGATTACAAAACCAATAATTGCAACTCACTGTAGAAGAGGTATATGTTAAAAGGAAAAACACACACAAATTGAACACCCAGCTGTTGTAATCTGAGGCCTGGTTCTTGCTGACTGTGTACGGAGCCCTCGAGAGCCAAGAACTGGGACTTCGTAGGCCAGTTGGGATTTAACTACATCTCGCCCGCAAAGACCCAGTCCTAAACTCTCTCCGTCTGCGATGTGATCATAAGGTTGTCCAAAGAAGAATGGTAGAGGTTACTATAACAGGTTCGTAATTCGCAATATAACCAGCCCAAGGTCTGTCCAACCGGACAATTGCAATCCAAAGACTTTCTTATAGCTTGTGTAGAATGCAAAATGAATGTCTATTCTGCGATCAGAGAGATATCAAATCTGTCTCTCGTCTGCAAATATGATCGGGATATCCACGAAAGTAAGAACTGTCAGGAATTCAAAGTATGTTTTAAAATTTACGATAAAATAGCCGAACTACATAAATTCAAAGACAATATAATCTCTATTCAGTTTGGCCTTAAATTTGACATATACTTTGAAGTCACGTCTTTAGTTAACAACCCGGATTTGTGTCCATGCCCATCACGTGGTTGATTCTTAAACTGGAAATTAAGCAAATTTTAAGGCACCATAACTTACCTGGATAAAAACTTTCGAGTTGGCCCAATTATGGAATAAAACGGGCTATTCTCCGAAATAATCTGCAAAGTGTATGAAGTCCTATTGCGTGAATGGGGTGTAATATATACAGGCCAGGGATTATTCGCTAAACACCGACTTTAACAGTGAATTTGCAAAACTTAAACCGAAACATTCAAGTCTGAACTGAAGCCAAGTGGGGGACGGGATGGAAAAAGAGCAAGTAAGATTTAGCAAAAATATACATTTTCCATTAACGCAATTCACAGATCGGTGAAGAGTGCAGTATGCATAGAAGAGGTTTTTTTTTTTTTTATGGGACTAGCAGAGTCCAAGATTACTTATAAAATCACAATATACAGGCGAGGGGAGTACCGACATGTATTCTGTCAAAGTATGGTTTACATACATTTATAGAGAAAATATTATATAGATAAAATTATCCATGCAAACATGAAAAGTATTTTCCTGAAACAGTTAAACTAACCAGATAAAGAGTTAAAATGACCCCAGTTTTTGCATCTTAAAAAAAAAGAAAAAAAAAGTTAAGCTTCATTTTATTCCGTTTGATATTAATGGACGTGATAGTTTGTGAGCACCCCAAATGTACCTCCGCACCAATCCCTGCTACCCCTAATTAGTGCACCTTCTAAAACCTCTTACCCCTCACTCCAGTAACAAGACATGTATTTACCTACTAAAAAAAAGAAGAAAAATTATTTTACTGAAATAATGGCTTTTTTCCCCATCAATTTCACACTCATTACTAATAAGATCAGTGCAAAGTATCACCAATCTCCCTGATACAATGTAACATTACCTTCTGCCTGGTGGCTGGAGAATGCCCCTTTAAATCAGGGTACTTATCCTGGGTGCCCAGCCAGAGGGGCAGTTGGAGGTGTCCTCCCCCCAGCAGTGGGGCAGATAATCACTGGGTCATTAGAGTGACAGTCAGGCAGATCTTAGAAAGTTTCTCCAGGCAGGTCCCACGTGTTAAATGACACAACCAGCAGGGCAACCACCACCCACACCCCCTGATCCAGGTCAGGAGCCAGCCCTGCCACACCAACTGGGGAGGCTGCAGCCAAGTCCTCATTATTGCTTCTCCCCATTGATCCAGCAATGCTAGGTTTCCAGGGCTATTTTTTTTTTCTGTTTTAATCTGCCCCCCATTCACTCCCCCTCATCTAATAACCAGAAGTCTGCAGGCAGCTCAGTAGCTGGAGCTGCTTTCATTATACAAAGTAAAGAAGTAGGGCGCCCTCTAGTGGCCAAACTGCTTAATAAACCAGTTTAAACAGGACTTTATTATTATTCAATGTCTTAACCCCTTAACCCCTTCAGAACCGGACTGTTTTGGCGATGTTGTACGTTAAGGACCCGACTGTTTTTGCGATGTTGTACGTTAAGGACCAGAGCGGGTTTGACACTTTTGTGGTGTTTGTGTTTAGCTGTAATTTTCCGCTCTCTCATTTACTGTTCCCATACAAATTATATATTGTTTTTTTCAGGACAAGAAGGGCTTTCTTTACATACCATTATTTGTATCATGTCATATAATTTACTTTTAAAAAATAAATTAAATATGGTGAAATTTTTTTTTTTAAATGCATGTATTTGGACTTTTACTTGAAAAATCTTTTACTTCTCTACAAAAGCTAATGAATAAAACCGCTAAATAGATTCGAAATGTTGTCCAGAGTTTAAAAACATCCAGTGTTTACATGCTTTTTTGCTTTTTTTGCAAGTTATAGGCCTATAAGTACAAGTAGGAGATTTCTGTTTCAAAATATATTTTTTTTAAATTTATCAACAGTGACATTAGGACACATTATCTGTCATAAATCTCTTTTTAGAGTAGACAACTCAGGGTATTCAATATGGGGTATGTCCAGTCTTCTTTAGTAGCCACTTAGTCACAAACACTGGCCAAAGTTAGCATTTAGATTTGTTTGTGTGTTACAAATGCAAAAAACAATTATGAACGCTAACTTTGGCCAGTGTTTGTGACTAAGTGGCTACTAAAAAAGACTGTACATACCCCATTTGCAGTAGCTTGGGTTGTCTTCTTTTGCAAATGGTATGCCATTATGGGGGCAATTCTCATTCCTGGGCTACCATACGCTCTTCAAGGCAACATAACCAATCTGGCAAATTTCAATGTAAAAAAAAAAAATTGACCTTTATATTTGTCCCTGTAACTTTCAAAAACACTATAAAACCTGCACATGGGGGGTACTGTTATACTTGGGAGACTTTGCTGAATACAAATATTACTGTTTCAAAACAGTAAAATGTATCACCTCAATGATATCATCAGTGAAAGTGTCATTTGTGTGTGAAAAATGCACAAAACATCACTTTCACTGACAATATCATCGCTGTGATATGTTTTACTGTTTTGAATCACTAATCACTAATATTTGTGTTCAGCGAAGTCTCCTGAGTAAAACAGTACCCCCCATGTGCAGGTTTTAGGGTGTCATAGGAAGTTACAGGGTTAAATACAGTGCTAGCAAATTAAATTCTCTGGACTTTTAGCCTGGGTTATCAGGCAGGTCCCTCAAATTGCAATCAATAAAACAACTTAATTATGTAAAAATATGACATAAATATGCACGTAGAATTTAAATATATATATGCATATTTATATATTTGACGTCTACATGTATATTTATGAAATTATAAGAAAGAGAGAGGGGCTATGGGGTGGGGAAACCACCACCACTACCCCACAAAAAGGTTACAGAGGTACAAGGGGTGTAACCCCACAATATATATAGAAAAAAGAGACGAAAAATGGGGCAGACAGTCCACTCACAAAAAAGTGGGTGGAATGCCTAGCCTCATTCAAAGTACCTCATAATGTAAATAGTCACATAGAAGAGGATAAACAACCTTTATTATAAAAAAATGCTAAAATGGTATATAGTTTAAATACTATTACCATACACTAAAATAGTGTATTGATTATAAGTTAACCACCAAACTTATAAAAGCCTGGGAGAGGCTAATCCTGCAAGGTATGTTTGACTTAATAAAGGTGTAAAAATACACCTAAAATAATAAATGGGTAACAAAGCAGGTTAGTCTAAATCCATTCTAGGAAAGGACCCAACTGGGTAATTGGATAGAAAAAGGATAGTCTTAGAGCAGTGTCTGAGAGAATCTGGAAAGGGCAGGGTTAATAGCAACTAATGGGGCGCGCCCAAACTAATATCGAGTAGCTTATACTAAAGAGAAAAGGAGCTAATACCCCACAAAAAGAGGAAAGATAGAAACTCCCCCACCCCCGAGTCACCCTAAAAAACTAACTATCCTAAGAGAAACGGCAAAACTAACTGCTGCTTCGTGGCAGCCTATCCAAATCCCTAAGTCTGTATCAGGAGAAAATATAGGCGCAAACACATGCGCTGTGGAAACCCAGGTAAATGAAAGATGAGAGTAAAGAAAATCAATTGAGTATAATAGCATCGGCTAGAAAATATCTCGACGCGCGTTTCGGCGTTTTAGATACGCCTTTGTCAAGAGCTACCTGGTAAGTGACACGGGAAGCAGTTATAAAGGGGATATAGACACACCCTTCAATTAAAGCCCTCCAATCAAAAGACCACAGGTTGTGAAAGCGTGACAGGTGACCTCCCCTGCATATTGAACCAATCGGAGGAGGTGGGAGTGGTCACCCTATTCACTCAGTATACACTAATGGCAAAAAAAAACAAAACTCTAAATAAAGAGTAGATACATGTTGCAATTAAAACTCAAAGCTAAAGTAAGTATGTTTTTTTTTTTTTTTAAAAAAGGTAACAAAGATTGGCACAGTAACAACATTCATCCAGAAAGGAGTATAAGGATGCAAGGTTAAATGATAATAAAAATAATAAATATTCAGTTCAAAGGCTAGAAAGAACGGCAAATAATCGAACCCAAATGTCAGTCACACAAAATGCCCAACATTAATATAGAGGCCTGTAATAAATCAGTAAAAAAATAAATAAAATACCTGTTAGAGGGCAATAAATGGGCTAGGAAGCAAAGTGTCCACAAGGGTTCTCGGAGAGAATAGAATGGTGCAGCATCATTTATCTAAATACATAAAATACTTGTAATATGTTATAGATATGTGCACAAGAGCAAAAGGATTTTTAAAAAACCCGAACGGAGCTTTAAGGGTATATTGAGAAATAGTAAAAGCCGTATAAGCCTTACTAAACTCCAGGTGTTATATCGAACGAGACTTTAGAGAATAAAAACCATATAGACCTAGCTAGACGCCAAGTGTGTATTGAAAATAAGCTGTTTAAAGGAGACTCACACCATAAAAAGGTTGAGTTTAATACCTGTGTATATAAACGATTGACTGGTATATATATATAAATATGTTATATTGTATATAGACAGGGCTTGCTAAAGAGTAAAGTAACTCAAAGGGAAGGGTGACAGAATATCCTTTATATGACACATGTTAACATGGATGTCCCATGGTCCACTTGCCAGCATTAAAGGTTGTAACCATACACTGTATACTAAAAATGATCACAGGGAAAGATGAGTGTGCCAATAGGAAGACCGATTATATTATATGTATTATGCAATATAGGAAAAAAACAGATTATAAGAGATATAATTTTATTTAGTTAAAATTAGATGAAATTTATTAAAGGCAAAGAGCACTAAATAATTCAAATAAATGGAGAAAAAGAAAACCCCTCATTGAGTCCTCTTGGATTGAAGGTATTAAGTTTATAGATCCACCTGCATTCTTTCTGGCACGGAATTTTGACAAAATCACCCCGTCTCTGATCACGTTTCACAAGTTCTAAGCCACAGAAACTTATATCTTTTGATAACCCACCATGTTGTTCCTTTAGATGTCTTGAAATGGGGGTATCAAGTCGATTTTTAGGTGATCTAACGTGTTCTTTAATGCGTTCTTTAAATGGACGAAAGGTTTTACCCACATACATCAACTTGCAACCACAGGTAAGCAGGTATATAACCTCTACTGAGTTGCAATTAAAGAAGTGGGTAATCTGGAAGGATTGTTTACCTTCACTATCCATCACCTCCTTCGAATATCTAAGGATAAATTTACAAGCCACACATCTCCCACAGCCAAAAGAACCCACAGGGATTTTTCTACCGAGCCACGTACTGTTAGAAGGTTGTTTAGAAGTAAAGTGGCTAGGTACGAGAATATCACGGAGGTTCCTACCTCTTCGGGCTGTAATGGAGACTTGTGGGCCCAAAATCTCCTTAAGGTGGGTATCCTTAAGTAGAATCGGCCAAAACTTTTGCATCGAGCTTTTAACAGTATCCCAACCAGTATTGAATGTACCAATCATTCTAATGGTTTTATCCGAAGTCTTCATCGATGTTGGGAAGTCGGAAGTCGGGTCCTTTCCTAGAATGGATTTAGACTAACCTGCTTTGTTACCCATTTATTATTTTAGGTGTATTTTTACACCTTTATTAAGTCAAACATACCTTGCAGGATTAGCCTCTCCCAGGTTTTTATAAGTTTGGTGGTTAACTTATAATCAATACACTATTTTAGTGTATGGTAATAGTATTTGGACTATATACCATTTTAGCATTTTTTTCTAATAAAGGTTGTTTATCCTCTTCTATGTGACTATTTACATTATGAGGTACTTTGAATGAGGCTAGGCATTCCACCCACTTTTTTGTGAGTGGACTGTCTGCCCCATTTTTCGTCTCTTTTTTTCTATTTATGAAATTATTTCTATAATTTGGTATATGGATATATATTTCGTATTATTTTTATTTATTCATATATACATAGATAAATAAATCATTTCATTCTAAGTGTATTTTCATATATATATATTTATATCAAAATACAGTTAGAATGGGGGCGTGGCCTAACCACAGAAGCGGACAGTCGCATGGCCTCTGAGCTCCAGCTAAACAAAGAACAAAACTCTAAAAATAGGGGTGACCCACGATCAAGAGGCACCCAGGAAGACCCCACCACTTACCCCATGGGCAAGAAAACAAAAAAACGTAAGCCCGATCGATCCCGTTTGAGCATCGGAGACCTCTGGCGGCAGGCACATGGCGCCCAGGAGCCTAAGATGAGGTCCCTCGGCAGCGGCTGTTCAGACTTCTCCGACGGGGCATTGGAGGAGGAGGGAGACCTCACACCAGCAACGGTGCTGCAAACAGCGGTACGAGCTGGGCCC